CAAATACCAACGCCAGGAGGGCGCCTAAAGCCGCCCCGAGGCTCACCTGACCGGTCACGTGACACATCACGTGACCGAGACAAGACTTTTTTATATCGCAGATCCAAAAACCCATAGGACATTTCTCCCAGGGGGAAGAAAACCTCCCTTGACCCCCCTGTTTCTCGACGGATCCTGCCGGCCGGGCCCGTCAGTAGACCGACTGCAGCCTTCAGCCCCGCCTCAGACCCCCTGGAGGCCCGCCAGGAGGCTAAGTGTCCGGAGATTGGCCGGGGGCCTGATCTCTCCGGGCGGCCGTGACCGGTCAGCGGGCCGTGTCAGCAGGCCCGTGACATGTCAGCCGGCTGACAGGGGCCGTGACCCGGCTGACAGGCTCACCTGACCGGTCACGTGACACATCACGTGACCGAGACAAGACTTTTTTATATCGCAGATCCAAAAACCCATAGGACATTTCTCCCAGGGGGAAGAAAACCTCCCTTGACCCCCCTGTTTCTCGACGGATCCTGCCGGCCGGGCCCGTCAGTAGACCGACTGCAGCCTTCAGCCCCGCCTCAGACCCCCTGGAGGCCCGCCAGGAGGCTACATTGTGGGGTCAAACCGCGTTGGTCGTACTTAACGCAAAAGAGGAATGGGTAATTCGAGTTATAGGAGACCGGTGGATGGGGACCCCCTGTAATCATGGTGGTAGTTTACAGTGATATTGGTGGTAGGGGTAATGGTGTATTTCATTGTGAGCTACCCAAATTCTTTTTAAAACTATAGTTTTTATCATTCCTATTTTACCATCGTGTTGTGTACCAATCTTGTAGGAGGTTTGAATTTTTGTACCAGGAGCACTAGACAGACCGGGTCCTTCTATACTTGTTTTTCTGGACCCAGGCCCCTGGGTCCACTTGATGAGAGCTACCCTACCCCCATGAGCCCTCCCATCGTACCCTACCTGGTAAGGCATTTTTTGTTTGAATTTTTGTACGAGTGGGTCTATATACACCGGGTCATTTGACGCAATATTTTCGACTGAGGGTAGGGTACTGAAATGTACTCTGTACCCCTCCTGATGGGTAGAGGGGGTAGTGGATGGTTTGAATTTTTGTACCAGGAGCACTAGACAGACCGGGTCCTTCTATACTTGTTTTTCTGGACCCAGGCCCCTGGGTCCACTTGATGAGAGCTACCCTACCCCCATGAGCCCTCCCATCGTACCCTACCTGGTCAGGCATTTCTTGTTTGAATTTTTGTACGAGTGAGTCTATGTACACCGGGTCATTTGAGGCAATATTTTCGACTGAGGGTAGGGTACTGAAATGTACTCTGTACCCCTCCTGATGGGTAGAGGGGGTAGTGGATGGTTTGAATTTTTGTACCAGGAGCACTAGACAGACCGGGTCCTCTCTGAGGATTGTCACCCCACGGGTGGTAAGCTCCATTCGAGGTACCCTACCCCCATGAGCCCTCCCATCGTACCCTACCTGGTCAGGCATTTCTTGTTTGAATTTTTGTACGAGTGGGTCTATATACACCGGGTCATTTGAGGCAATATTTTCGACTGAGGGTAGGGTACTGAAATGTACTCTGTACCCCTCCTGATGGGTAGAGGGGGTAGTGGATGGTTTGAATTTTTGTACCAGGAGCACTAGACAGACCGGGTCCTCTCTGAGGATTGTCACCCCACGGGTGGTAAGCTCCATTCGAGGTACCCTACCCCCATGAGCCCTCCCATCGTACCCTAACCCACAACCCTGTTCCACTACCCCAGGGGTATGGTACCAAATTGACACCCCCCCGGGGTCAGATTTTTTCAAAGGCGCGCAAGTGAAGGTCACGTTACCGCATCACGTTACACACGGCCGGGACTTTGGAACCGTGACCTTGGTATCGTGACTTTGGTATCGTGACTTTCGGTATCATGACCTTGGTATCGTGACTTTCGGTATCATGACCTTGGTATCGTGACTTTCGGTATCATGACCTTGGTATCGTGACTTTGGTCTACGGTATCGGATTCAACCGGTCCGATGCCGACATGTTTGCGCACACAACCCTGTCGACCATCTCACGGTGCTGCATGTAGAGCTCGTACCATTCAATGGCATGCTGCATTTTCTGCAGATTGATGTCATTGTCCCGAAGGATCGCATGCAATGACGCGAGGTCTGACGCGGTGTCCATGACTTCTTGGGGGCATTCAGATTCCCCAAGTCCTTTTATTATTTAGGGCAAAAAAAAAACGGTTAGCTTAGTTTTTTTTAAAAAATTTACAAAAAGGGATTCAACCGGTCCGAACCAAGAGAATGTGGGACGCACTGTCGCTGTACGGGGGCATCACTGTCTTGGTGGCCAGTCTTTTCACCCTTCAAATGGCGTGGAAACGTCAGAATAAGGCAAAGGCAGTGGTGGGGAATAGAGATTGGGTCGGGAAATTCATGTTGAAGCACAAGAAGTGGTTCCCGTTGGCCCTCCGCGAGGTAAAAGCGGGCACGAAGGAGTCGGACTGGATATTGTGGGTCTTCCCGATCCCCCTCACATTGGCGGAGGATGAAATAGACATTCTCTCGGCCAGCAGAAAGGAGTACTGTGTGCCGACTGCAGAGGAAGGGATTGCCCTCATCCTGGATGAAGTCTTTCACAAGGACCTCGTGGAGATCATGCAGGCGTTGCAGCATCATGGGAATCCGCAAAGGGTGTTCACGAGCAGCATCGATCGGACAATGTTCCGCATGTCGATCGACTACCTCATTGGTATCCTCGGTGAGAACCCGGAGGTTCTGCTGCAGGATCAGCGTCTGCAGGATCTGCTGGTCTTCTGGCGCGATCAAACGGCGTAGTGTTGAAAATAAATGAATTTTATGTTGGGTCTTGGGTCATGTCATTTCATGGGTCATTTCTGACCCAAAAACAAAAAAGAGATTCGCACGGATTTACTACTTGCACGTGCGACATTTTCCAAAAAAAAAAAGATATTGCGTGCACGTGCGTTGCATATCTTTCAAAAAAAAAAAAATATATCGCCTTATCCAAACGGTCGGGGGATTTACTCCATGTGCCCCTTATCCTAACGCACACGACTCCTTATAAAAAGGGGCGTCGGCACCGGCGGTGGCCACACAAGCAAACACGGAAAGAGACATGTGCGTCGGACACGGCCTGTCCTATCACTTCATAGGCCTCGGCTGCCTGGCTGCATTGGAGAGGGATGGGGAACTGATTGGGCCGATCCTGTACGGCCCGAGGGTCATGGAGTGGGGCACCGGCGCAGTGCACGTGGTCGCACACAGGTTGCAGGATGGGGAGGGCTCGATCGTGTCCTTTGAGCACAGGGTCGGTGTGGAGGAGTGTGACTTCACGCTGGTCCCCCACGAGCCATGCTGCCTGTTCGACGGCGTGCCGCCCGACGCGATGATCACCAAGACCGCATCGGATGGCATCGACGAGCTAATGGAGAGCGGCGTCGGCGCAAGGGTGTTGGATTACATCTCCGGGCTGGACCCCGATGAGAGGATATGCCTCACCGGGTACGACATGGGCGGGGTCATGGCCCAGCTGTTCGCCCTCACGTGCAGGTAAACATAGAGCATGCCCCTCTGACGCACTGAGAAACACGCGCAGGCGGGCGTTTGTCATGACCATGGGGAGGCCCATGTTCGCCAACCGGGCGTTCACCAAGTGGTACAACAACACCGTGCACTCTGTCAGCTGCTTCATTGCAAAGGGGGACAGCATAGCGGATTACTGCCGGGCAAGGGCATCCGGGGGGCTGCACGAGGATGCCGGGGTGATCATCCTGGACAACAACGAGGACCTGCCGCAGGAAACCCCCGATGGCACGCTCCGGAACCACGGCAGGGACTATTACAGGAGGTGCTTCTCGAACCTGCGCAGGAGGAGGCAGCGGATCGGCCCCATGATGGACCCCGCCATCGCTGGGAGGTACATCTCGCGGCTTGCAAGGCCGCCCCCCGGGCGGATGGGGATGATCGCCAGGGCCCGCCGCATGATCGAGGACGGGCTCCTGGGGGACAATAGTGCCGCAAAAACCGCATACCGCAGCCTCGCGGAGAGGATCAATCAAAAGGCTGTCATCTCCAACACGGCGAGGTTCGTGTCGGGCCTCTTGTACCTGATCAAGAGGGCACAGATCAGGTCGGGGCGCGCGACGCTGGAGGGCAGCGACCCCCCCCGCTCCTTCAACGCCAGGCCCGTGGTGGCCTCTGTCCTGATCAAGTGGCACCCGAGGGCATGCTTCGAGTCCATGGGGGCAATGGAGGAGGACCTGCGGGCGCGCGCCGTGGCCCTGATCAAGCGGCTATCGGACATTGCCGCAAGCATGGCCTCCCCCGGATTCTCGTTCTCGATCGACGCCTGCCTGGGTTGGGAAGGGCTCGACGAGGAGCTCACCGGGTACCTGGCGGCATTCGAGAGGTGGAGGGTCCCGGACAAGAAGAGGGTGGCGTCGAGGATATCGCACTCCCTCAGGGCGCTGTACGTCGCACACAGCAGGCTCAAGGATCGCGGGGACGCGGAGTTCATGAACATGCACAGGGATTTCATCGCACAGAAGGAAAAGCTGAGGAAGCAGTACGCCGCGTGCATCGGGAAGGAGGAGCTCGCCCGGCTGGATGCAGAGTTCGGGATGATCGATGTGAAGGAGGCCGCGGGATCCCAGGATGCCGCCGGCACCACCAGGCCCCCGCAGAAGCAGGACAGGATGAACAACGAGCAGCTCGCCTATGAGCTCTTCCTCGACCCCAACTTTCGCATCAAGGACGGGTACCAGGAACTCAACCGCGGCGTCTTGGATGGCGTGCGCAACGCGTTCAGGGAAGCGTTCTGGGAAAGCCTGGTCGATGACATGAGGCTCCAGCCCCCGGTATACTGCCGCGTGATCAAGGTCCTCGGCGATATTCTCAATGGGTACACCGAGATCGTCCCGTCGGAGAGGGCCCTCATGATGGACATCGTAAACCTGCAGCTCATCCAGGAGCGGGTTGCAAGTGACAGCCTCGGATGGGCCGACACCGTCGCGTTGATCAGGTTGCTGGCCGGGAAGGTCCATGACTTGGATGGATTCAAGGTGACATTGTTGGTCGTTTGTTTGATTGATTGTTTGTTTGATTGATTGATTGATTGATTGATTGGTTGGTTGGTTGGTTGGTTGGTTGGTTGGTTGGTTGGTTGATTGATTGGTTGGTTGGTTGGTTGGTTGGTTGGTTGGTTGATTGATTGATTGATTTGATTGATTTGATTGATTGATTGATTGATTGATTGGTTGGTTGATTGATTGATTGATTTGATTGATTGATTGATTGATTGATTGATTGATTGATTGATTGATTGATTGATTGATTGATTGATTG